TAAGCCCAGACAAGTCCTCATGCATTTTGGCACATAGGGGAATTAAAAAAAAAATAAAATCTGGATGATACTCAATGCTGTGATCACAGTGAGGTTTCCTGGATATCCAAGAGGGGATCACGGCTGATCTGGGAAGATGTGAACACAGTGTTACAGAGGTGCTTTCTGCCCTGCAGAACCTCTTATCTTGAAATTGTTCAGCTCTTTGGAGCGGCTTAACCTCTCTCCATTTAACTCTGTAATGCAAGGGATGCAAATCCTGCTCTGCCAGAGAAGGGCAGCAGACAGCTTTCCTTTTCCACCTTTTTTCCTTTTCCTTTCCCTTTTCTCCTCCTCCACACCCCATAGCATTCCATAACCCATCTGGCAATTAATATTAATTAATTTACATTGCCTTGGAGCTAATGTTACCAGAGCATCACAGTATCACAACCTGAAGGATTTATTTCCACTTAATCGATTGTCTCTCCACTCCTCATATTTTTTCCCGGTTGTCTCCATCACTCATTAATTCCTTCTGAGAACTCCTTTAACCAAGGAGGAACTAATGGAAATTCGTGTTTCCCTCGGTGCATCCTCCTCCTTGCTGGTGTCTGTGTGTTAAGCTTGTTTCCAGGTAAGTTATTCCACACTGCTCTCTTCCTGATTGCTCTCCTCCGGGCTGACCTTTCCAGTGCCAAGTGAACTAAAGCTCCTGGTGAATCCCTAATTCGATAAGCAGAGGCCCAGCCAGCCGCCTGTGTTGTCACACTGTCAAATATTCATCGTTTCAGATCGCCAGTGCCCTTTACATCAAATTCTTTCCTCACCTAAATGCGAACTGCGAGTTGAGCTGGCTCGCTGTGACCTGCGACAGGGACACGGTGACAAGTCGGGGGCAGGGGGAGGGAGAAGGGAATGACAACAGGTAGCGATGAATGCAGGGCACATTCCTGCAAGCACCTCCAATTCTCACATCCTCCGGCTAAAAAATGCCTGGGAAGTGTTTCCAAACCACTCCCGGCGGAAGCGAGGGGGCAGGTCAGAGGCGCTCCTGATAGGATCTGGGAGATCCTTGTCGCTTCATTCCTTGGATATTCCTCCGGCCACAGGTGACCCAGAGCCCCCAAGGACAACTTTTCCCGCTCTCACCTCCAAGCACAGACGTGCTCCAGCAGCAGGATTTGTTCTCCCCCTCTTTTAGGTAATGCCTGGCTCACTTTTCCTGCAGAGGTTCAAAGCCAAAAGCAAACTGTCTGTAGGAAAGGAGAAAAAAGGGTGCTGTGCCAGGTTCCTCTTGCCCAAAGGGGTAAAATTAGGAATAAAAAGAGGATTTAGCTGTCCTTATGCTGTTGCTACTGTAGGAGAACCCTGAACTAACACACAGTGGAGTGAGTGCTTTGGAAGGAAAAATGAAGAAAAACAAAATATATACAATAAGCAAGATGAGGGGGATAAAAATGACAGGGGGGAGCATAAAAAAGGAACAGCAGAAGATAAAAAGGTAAAAAAATTCCAAAAGCAGTGACATACCTCCACATCACCCTCCCTCCATTCCTCTTCCCTGGAGAGTGCTGAAGAACAAAGCTGGGATGGATGATGGATGGATGGATGGATGGATGATGGATGGATGATGGATGGGGGGT